GGTTCGACTCTAGCTCCCTACAGAACCAGCCCAGCTGCACCTGTGGAGCAATACCAACTCCCAGGCATCTCTGGATGGGATCGGGGGACGCAGAGAGGTTTACAAGCTTGGACTGTGGGCTGTCAAGGCCATCACAACAGTGTGGGAACAGCCACGCATGGGGAACCAGCGGGCATGCTGGAAAGCCCATAGTGGTGGATTTTTCCTGAAGTTTTATACCAATTGTTTGCACACAGATGTAGAACAGAAGAAAACAAGCTATTATTTCAAAATCTCAATATGAAATAACCTATGTCCCTCAGGGTGCAAACCAGCAACTTCAGGTGGGCTCAGACACTCTTTAGGAGTGCTGCCCAGGTTCCTGCCCCCCCCACTGCATGGTCCAGTGGCTGGTTGGAGACTGGACCAGACTGCCAGTGTGACCTGCTACAGCCCTCCCTGCTCAGGCTAAAAGTCTGCTGTGTCAGCCAGGCCTGCTGCCAGAGCCCACAGCAACCTGCATAGAACAGTTGTCTCCTCTTCGGAAAAATAAAGAGCAAATTGTAGCTGCCTGCTGTGCAAGCACACAGGTTGCCCAGAGATGGTGGATGCGCCATCCCTGGAAACATTCAAGGCCAGGCTGGGTATGGCTCCGGGCAATCTGATCCAGCTGAAGATGTCCTTGCTCGTTGCAGGGGGATTGAACTATTCTGTGATTCTATTGCTTTGCAGTATGCAGCAGAACCACGTGGATCAGCAGGCTCATAAGCACAGGCTGTTTACTCTCAGCTTTTCCCTAGGCTCACGTTGTTTAGCACTGCTGTTTTCAGCTTTCCAACCATCCCTACAAGGACGTACAAGTTACATCCTTAGGGAAACTGCCACGAGCATCCAGCAGCTTGACCCAGGTGCCGAGGCACCTTTTTCCATGATAGTGAACAAGCAAATATATTTTCTCACCTCTAGAAAAGCACTACTCACTCCAGCTGCTGGAGCAAACACAATCTGCCATCTGCTTTATGGTATTGTTTCCTTTAGCTCCTGCTGGTCCATGGCAGGAGGGCAAGTCCCAGTGGCCACTGAGAATGGTTAGAAATTGTCACTTTCCTCTTCAACATCAGAGGTTGCTCCCTCCCAGCTTGACTGACAAAGCAGCACATACAGGGATATAAAGAAAAGCAAGAAATTTGGAGAGGGGCTTTTGAGAACGGCCTGTAGGGACAGGACAAGGGGGAATGGCTTTAACCTGATAAAGGGGAGATTGAGATGAGACATTAGGAAGAAATTCTTCCCTGTGAGGGTGCTGAGGCGCTGGCACAGGGTGCCCAGAGAAGCTGTGGCTGCCCCATCCCTGGCAGTGTTCAAGGCCAGGTTGGACACAGGGGCTTGGAGCAAACTCTTCTAGTGGAAGGTACCCCGGCCCGTGGCAGGGGGCTGGAACTGGATGAGCTTTAATGTCCCTTCCAACCCAAACCAGTCTGTGCTTTTATGACATCTACCCCTGTTCCACCCCATGCAAAGGACAGAAAGCACTGCTTATAGATGAAGAAGACACACATACATGAAATGCAGCAATGCAAAGTGATCCCTTGTGTATAAGAGCAGACCAGGCACCTGGTAGGAGTAGGGACAGGCAAGGCAAGAGGCTGGGAAACATGGCTGCAAGGCTGGGGGAGGAATAAGAACATTGGAGGTACAACTGCAAACAAGGGTTCTTTTTCAGCAAACAGGCAGCATCAAGAGACAAGTTCTACCTGCAAGGGTTGCAGCCATCTCACAGAGATGACACCACCTCTCCCACTTTTTCAAGGCTTCAGGGTTCTCCGACCACTTTTTTTCCTTGTTTCCAGGTCAGGAAGATGCAAAGCATTCAATACATGACCTCATGCTGCTTTGGATGCAGAGCAGCAACTACTCTCCCTTGTTTTTTCAAACAAATCTGTCACGCTGCAGGATAGTAAGGCCAAATGTCATATTGTTTTTTAGCCATAGAAATCTCAGCCTACATACTGATTTTATATATGAAAACTCATTAAATGCAATGAAAACCAGTTTAAGATGTCATCCTAATCTTACACCAGATCAGATCAAACTGCTCACAGTCCCAGACCTCAGCTGACCTGCAAAGGCAGCGTCCCCTCCAGCAGACCAATGAGCTCTCACACAGGCGTCCCTAAATCCAGAAAAATTAAGACCACAAGCACTCCCAGTCACTTGCAGAGTGGTTATCAACCCAGAACAGCTACATCCACTGAGAGCTGGTGCAAAGTCATTATGTTCAACAAAGCCCAGGCCAGTAACATGGTTGTGATAATGTATCCAGTTCACTCTGAGGCTTAAAAGTCTCCTCCAGCCAGCTTCAGTCTATCTGCCAGTGGGCTAGGAGTTGTCTTATGTCATGTTCCTGTCATTTCCGATTCCAGAACTACCTCAGCTCCAGTGGAGCACAGGTAAAATGATCAAAGGAAAATGATTCCTTCACTGTTTGATCATGTCTGCTCTTTTCTTCCACCCCATCTAATACAGTTTTCTTCACAAAGAGCCTTCTAGAGGAACAGTAACAGCACAGACTAAAAAGACCACACCTGCAGTTAGCATTCAGTGCCAAGCCTTCTTAAGTGAATGAACAAAGAGAAACTCACATCTTTATTCAAGGCTGACAGGAAGTGTCCTCACCACTCCTCAACAGCTAATTATTTTGTTCCGAAGCTTTGATAATCTTTGCATCCATTGGTACAGCTCTGTAATATCCAGACAAGTTCTGGAATAGCTCCCATCTCATAGGTACTTTTTTGAGGGAAAAGCTAAATTTGAACTAGCAAAAATAGCCATCCTCCCGCTCACATGAAATCACACTACCTGTAACCCAGTTTGCAAGCAGCACTGACATATGGAGACTAAACTCTGCCTGATCCTCTCTTGCCTATATCCAGCAGCAGCAGTGACAGGGGAAAGCGTAGCAAAGAGAAAATAGTTGAAAAGATGAGGTTTAAAATCCTATTAACATTTACCCTTCTTTCTTGTGAGTGCTGAAAGGCATGAAAAAACCCAAGTACTTTCTGTTGCAAATGTGTAACGCCCTTTTTGAAGCATAGAGGAAAAAGTGCTGCCCAGAGCTGGTCCAGTCACAGTACCAGCTGCATCACTCCCAAGTAATGCACACAAATAATGCTTTCAAGCTCAGATGGGCAAATCTGGTTACACAGGAGCAGCTCTATCAGCATCCAACTGCAACACAAAAATAAAAGCGTGCTTTCCTCAGCATACTGCAGATATAGTGTACTGATGCACTGCATCCAGAGTGGAAATAGTGGACACAAAGATTTAAAACTGAGGCACTGAATGAAACCAGGAATCAGGTTCAAAGCAAAGTAGTGGTCCCTCTTGCAGGAGGCAGCGCAGTGAGGAACAACTTGGCTAAGTGTTGTACACACTGGAAGTTCACACAGTGTCAAGGGGAAAACAGAAGTTCCTGGAAGAGAAAACCACCAACAGTTTTATGCCTGTTCCCATGGTGAGGGACAGGAGACCAGACAAGGGGCATCTTTGATCAAACCACAGGTATCTCAGCACACAGGGGAAGCAGCTCTAAGTATCAGCTATTCCAGTCCTTTACAAGACACTGCCTGTTTCTAGCAACAGTTAAAGCAGTTTGATCCAATACAAATCATGTGTCATTGCACTATTTGATGCTCTAAATTGATTCTCATTGTCTATCTTGTGTAATTCTGATAGCTTGTTTGAAACAACTGAATTTGCAAAACCAGCTACATTTTTCATTACTTTATGTAACAGATTTTTCCATTCACACACTTTTCCAGACACAGCTACTGAATACATGCATCAACTGTGCTGTTTGTAAATTCAAGTCTATTTTTGTCTTTACAAGCAGAATGCATTCTAATTTAAAAGACCAGAAAAGTGCTATGCAGAACCCAAACCCCTCAAACAAGCCTTTTTCTTCTCTTGAGAAGCAGATCTAGTATGTCCCAAGTCCTAGTCTAATGACAAACCAATGTTACCCAGGAGCAAGTTGATCACCACACCTCTTTTATGACTATTGCTGGAATATTTAAATGCAGACCACTGCACCACATTAATCCCTGATGCTATCTCTGTAGCACAGCTCTAACAGCAGCACTGCTGTCCCCAGCACACACCCACTGATGCAATCTCTGAACACAGCAAGAGTTTGCATGGCATCTTTAGCTTGATTTTATTCCTAAAATCTCATGCTATAAACACCTTTTCCCATTAATCTTTCAACACTGACAGTTTTAAATATAGGTAAAGCATTTGTGAGCTACAATTTAAAATGCTAAATTTCAAGGAGAATATAAACTCGTATCTGCATGCTTTCAAACTGTCTCAGTGTGAAAAGCACATTAGATAAAAATCACAGAATGGTTTGGGTTGGAAGGGACCTTAAAGAGCATTTCGTTCTAAACGCTGGCCATGGGAATGTGTTCTTTCTTCACAGATAAACCTCTCCAATCATAACCAACTAAAGTTCCAGTTAAACTAAATTCACCCCAACCTTTGTTACATTATGAATTCACCAAAATATGCAAGAGTTATCACCACTCAGGCATGAAGAGCAGGTCTGTACTATATTTGACTAGAGCATTACCATCCACACAGCAAACAAAAAAAAATCCCTCCTCTCTCCAAGCTCCATATGCAAATGCACAACAAAAAAAATTATGACAAATCACACTGTTTTTTTTCTAATGGAGCACTAATACAGTGTTACTAAAACTTTATTTAAAGAGTTGCATCATACAAAAAGGAACTCTGGTACAGGACACAGATTGTGTGTATGCACTGTTCCTTTTCAAGGCTGTGTTAGTCATTTGCCATCTCAATGGCTATACTTTCTAGCACACTTTTCTGGTAAAGCATTATGCATTTTGTTTATGCAGTCAGTAATTCTCTCAATACTGAAAAAGCATTTTATTGAAAACTTCTAAAAGGGCACAGTGATCCCAAT